GAAAACAGTGGGTAACTCACCAGTTTCTATATATGCCTGAATGTCCATTGCCTTTGTTAGGATGAGATTTATTAAGCAAATTAGAGGCACAAATAACTTTTAAAAATGGGGAAACTGAATTATTGATAGCAGAATCAAAAGCTGTAGAGGCAAGAGTGTTTATGTTACAGGATTCTTTTAAGGAAGAGCAAATTCCAGAAGAGGTGGAAAACGCAGTAATCCCCTTGGTTTGGGCAAATGAAGTTCCGGGACGGTCCAAATTAGCAGAACTGGTAAAAGTGACCTTGAAACTTGGATCCAAACCAGTAAGACAAAAACAGTATCCTATTAAGGGGGAGGCTCAAAAAGGATTGGAGGGGTTAATCACAATTTTTGGAGTATAGACTTCTGGTAGAATGTGAGTCAGAATATAACACTCCTATATTACCAGTAAGGAAATCTGGAGGAAAAGAATATCGACTAGTCCAAGATTTAAGAGCTATAAACCAGATAGTTCAAGATATACACCCAGTAGCAGCCAATCCCTATACTTTACCGACATCTCTAAAAGAGGAACAAATAGTTTACTGTACTAGATTTAAAGGATGCCTTCTTTTGCATACCTCTAGATATACAAAATCAAAGCATATTTGCTTTTGAATGGGAGAGCCCTGCAACAGGACGAAAGATTCGTATCTGACATGGACACCTGAATGCCAGAAATCATTTAAGGAACTTTAAAAGGCATTGATGATGGCCCCTGCCTTGGGTTTACCTGATCTAACCAAACCTTTTGAGCTGTTTGTCCATGAGAGGCAACATCTGGCCTTTGGAGTGCTGGCACAACATCTGGGATCCTGGAAGCGACCAGTAGGATACTTGTCTAAACAACTTGACAACGTGAGTAAAGGATGGCTGGGATGTTTACATGCTGTGGCAGCAACGGTATTGCTGATTCAGGAAGCTCGAAAATTGACTACGGGCCAAAAGATGGTGGTACAGGTACGACACATGGTGATAACTGTTTTAGAACAAAAGGGGGGGTCATTAGCTATCCCCCAGCAGAATGATGAAATATCAGTTTGTCCTGCTGGAACAAGATGATGTGGAATTAAAACGACAGCTATTCTAAATCCAGCAATGTTTCTGTTGATGGAAAATCCAACAGAAAGTCTAGAACATGACTGCCTGCTAACTGTTGAACAAGTTTATACCAGCAGATCTGACCTGAAAGATGAACCTCTGGAAAATCCTGATTTGGAGTTATTTACGGATGGGAGAAGCTTTGTGAAAGAAGGAAGACGAACGGCCGGATACGCTGTTGTCACCACCACCAAGGTACTGGAGTCAGGAACGCTACCTGCAAATACCTCGGCACAGAAAGCAGAACTGGTGGCATTGAAACAAGTCTTGCGAATGGCAGAAGGAAAGAAGGTAAATATACGGACTGATTCTAAATATGCATTTAGCATGATTCGTGCTCATGGAGCTATCTGGAAAGAAAGAGGACTGCTCTCAGCCCGAGGATCATCGATAAAACATAAAGAAGAAATCCTCCAGCTCCTAAAAGAAGTGCAGAAGCCAAAGGAAGTGGCGGTAATGCATTGTAAGGCTCATCAATTTGGTCAGACAGCTGTAAACATAGGTAATCGATTGGCGGACAAAACGGCAAAGGAGGCTGCGGAACAAGGTATCCTTGCACTAGTACCAGTAAAACAGATAAAAATCCTGAATCTGAAACCAAAATATAGCAAATTGGATGAGCAATTGGCGGAACAATTAAAAGCATCACAAAATACAGAAGGGTGGTGGGTAACGCCAGAAAAGCAGGTAATAGTAACCCCGCAAGTTATGTTAGAACTTACAAAAGAAAAGCATGCTCAGACACATTGGGGTGTAGATGCTATGGTCTCGAGTTTAAAATCATCTGTAGTGTGTGTAGGAATGACAGGAATA